GGTACTCATCGGGGGCCACTCTTGATCATTGTTAATTAACAATAATTTCTTTCCTTTCTAATTAATTTACACACTTCAGATTTTTTTTTAAAGTGCCATTTATTTATTATTTGGCACTGTTAACCTGAATTTAAGTCCTGAATCAAGATAACTCTTGCAAATTAAAAAAGCTCCCGTACGTACAAGAATATTAATACGTACGTAGAGCAACATATAGTTAATTAATGAATTAATTAAATTGAATATTATATAGCTTAACTGTGATGCTTAGGCTTTTCTCTGTTGCAATTGGCGGATATTGCTTACCCCATTAATTAGTATGCGGCATTTACATTCTTCATTTGAAATTAGGATTGATGAATTTAGGTGAAGTTTTCTTCTATTGCTTTTAGTATTTTCTCCCATTTTATTATTTTTTATAAAATATAAAATCTTCTCTCTCCATTAAAAAAATTACAAAAATTTACCAATTACAACTTCAAAAGATTTAAATCCTTATTTAATTATAATTATCAGTCTTAAAGGTTTGCTAACTATAACCATCAACTTGAGTGACTCTAACATAAAAATCTTACTGCACCATAGCAGCTTGTTACTTTTGATTATTTAATATACAAGTGATTTGTTCCATTGTTCAGCAGAGAACATTATTAATTAGGTTAGTTTATTATTACATTACTTTTAGACTCGATGAATAATTGCAGTAACAAAATTACTTAAACCTTAAAGGAAAAAAGACTGGATTGTTATGAACTTGTAAGATCTTCATGCCTGACCAAGATTGAAATTTATAAAGCATTATTTTTCCTGGTAAAAAATATAAATAATTAATTAATGATTCATCGATGGATGAGTATCTCATACTCTCCCTACGCTTCTGTTGAGTTGTCCTTTTTTAATTTTAAAAAACAATTATTTGTCTTTTTAAAGAGTTCAAGTTAACATTATTTCTTGTTGTTTAATTAACCTTAATTAACTAATTTTAAAAATTCAATACAACGCTGATGATCAGTAAAATAAAATAAGGGCATAATAGATCGATTTATTTTGTTAGTACAAAACAACAACAACAACAAAACAATAAATTCTTAATTGTATGAATTCTCAAGTTTACCCTACAGTAAATTCTTGGAAATGTGAAATTCAATATATTAACTTTCAGCTACATTTTTCAAAATCCTCCTGAATTTAATTTCATTATACCAATAATTTTATGAGCGGTTAATTAATTAGTTTATTATTTCACGTGCATAAATAATATAGCACAGCCTTGACCGTAATATCTGAACCTTTATGATCTTTTGTGGAAATAACCTACTTAGCTTCCTCGGCCAAGCATGCATGCGAAGAACATGTATTATTAAAAGTATTTCATGTAATAAATTTGTTAATGCAATTTAAAATTATGTCGTTAACTCCAGCTTTTTAGGTCTGACGATTAAAGCATCAGTTTATTTGCAAAGTGTTATTAAAAAATAAAGGAGATAATCACACGTGCACGCACATGAGGGGGCAAAACCCTGAAGCTTGTTATGGCCAAAAAATATCTGATTTCCCAAGCGATTTAACAATTCTCATACGAGGACCAGACACAATTAATGCTGATCATGGTAGATAAGCAAGAATCACCTAATGATTGATTATATGCGAGTGATCCATGACCATTCTTATTATATATTTAAAAAATTATTAAACTACATTAAGAAGAAAATGATATATTAAGAAGATAATGATATACCCCTCATCGCATATATTTATGAATCAATAATCAATCATAACTAAAAATTAGATTTTAGTACCATATCTGAAGAAAAACGTAAGGCAATCATAAATGTTGTCACTTGTAACGTATCATGGTATGAGAATAAAATTACAATCTTATCTTTTTCCTTATCTTCTCTTCATCGTCATGCCTCGGTCTCATGTCTGCCTTAACCTACCACTCGCATCGATCTCCAATTATACCTACCAGGGGCTAAAAAAACTCTCACTTTTTCCTCTTGCATGTATTTTCTAAATGGCTAAAGAGCCTATCCATTGTACTGCCGAGCCAAACAGGTTCAAAAGGAACACCATTTAAGGTTATACTAAAGCGGAAATGGAGGAGACCAGTAATCAAAGGTTGACACGTGGTCTCGTCAACAGATCGACTTTGATTCCACTGTCCACGCGTGAAGAGTCAAAAGACGTCTGAGATAGACCGCAATATCAGATTGCTCTGACAATTTATAACGTGAATCACCCCACTACGGCACAGTTGCAATCCCATTAAAAACCGCAGTGATTTGGTCTAGCATCTTAGTTAATTAATTACACGTGTCAACTTTGGTGTGCCATTTAAATCATAGCTTAAGTTTTGTTATTATTAGTGGGGGTGATTAGGCCACAGGCTTTTGGCGGCTTCCACCGTGCATCGAAATGCTCCTGAAATGTGATCAACACACTACCGGCGTTCGAATATTTTAACCCGCTTGTTTAATTTTATTGGAGTTTACCATTATTTTAAGCAGATATTTTTTTAATAAAATGCACACAAAATTCGAGGCCTTTAATCGCACTATGAATACCGTTTTAAATTGTCAAGAAGTAAAAAAGAAATTCCGTCTAGCTTTTCATCGTAAGTTTCTTTTAGTCTTGTTTGTCCAAGAGATTAAAAAATAATTCCGAATTTCTTATTACATTCTATCTCCGTATAAAACTTAAAGTGAACTTAATTTGAACTCTAATGATTTTTGGCATGAACAGTGTGTATATATATATATATGAATTTATATTGAGCTACACTGTCAATTAAACAAATAATGTGATAATCAACATAAAATTTGTAGGGGCATTTAGAGTTGTATCTATCTCAATTAACTCATACCTATCCTAGTCATATCAAGACGGGATTGTCATAGCCTAAAAAATCAAGACACAATAGAGAAGGGGCCAGGACAGGACAAGAAGTGGGATACCCTTTCAGAAGTCTTGTCCCATCCCAATACTCTATATACATTTTCCTTTTTATGCTTGTGTATATATATTAATCATTATATCATTTTATTGTTTATCTGTTTATATTTTTTGTTTATTTTTACTTTATTTAATTTTGTATTATTCTGTGATACTCAATGTGGCCAAACAACTTGCAAGATGTTTTCTTATAATTATTGATATTGATTTGAGAAATTAAAAATGCAAATCCGAATTGTTGCCATTCAAATACTTTAATGAGTTTATTTTTTAAGTCTATGCTTAGTTGTTATTGCCTATTATAATTTAAGTTTATAATAGGCTCAAACCAAATAGCCTATATGTGTACGGGGCTTTTGTATTTGAGTGACTCATGTCCTTATATTTATTTGTTTATGTATTAAAACTCAATTGAAGATATAAGTAAATGTGACTAAAGCAAGTGAGGGTGGTTATCGAATTTCTCAATCCCATTCTGACTCCTACTAGGACGAGAGGGCTTTTAAAATGGGATAGGAAATTGGATAAAATTTAAGTTTAAGTCATTTTTTGGGATGGGACACCTATGATGAACAATCTTGTTGTCTATGTTTTTGGTAATAGATGTGAGACTGCATGTCTTTAAATTTGGAATATAAATGATGAAATGATAGTATTGATATAATATATGAAAAATATAACTTTAAATCCCTATATTTTACTCAAGTTTTGTTATAGATTCCTGATTTTTTGTCAATATTATATACTTTTTTTTGTATTTTAGATCTTTCTATAAAAAATATTATAGGGATTTAAAATATTAAAAAATAAAAATTAAAAAATTTAAAATATTAAAAAAATATAAAAATTTATAATAAAATTTAAATAAAGTGTAAGAATCTAAAACTATATTTTTTAATAACATATAAAAATAAGATTGCTTGTCACCGTTCATTGGTTACTCATGTACTATTAATTATACGGTAGAAAGGTGTCGTTGCTTGTCACCGTCCAATGGTACTCATTTACTATTTATGCACAATGAGTCGTTACTTTTTGACTTTTTAGATGGGTGCTTTCTTGAACGTTTAAACATACACATGTACTAGATTCACACGGGGAGGCATTTTCAGCCGTTATAAAGTACTTCGTTTTTATATATAAAAAATTACTAATTTATTTTTTAAATTTATAAGCAAAGTCATGAATGTGAACAAATATTTATCACAATTTGTTTAAGTTCTCTCTCATAAACTTATGATTTTCACTTGCGAAAAATAATTAATAGAGCCTTATTTTTATTAAATATAAAAGTATTTTAATCCAATTTTTTATTTTCAAATAAAATTATTATCCTGAACTGATTTTGTTTTTAAATTATGTCACACAGTTATTTTTTTTTAAATACATAATTTATGTTAATTTTTGGCCAAAAACTTAAAATTGGAGTGGAGTTTAACACAATTTCTTGGGATTGAATATTTACATAGATACATATATTCATACATACGTACATATACGTGTGTGCGCGCAACAAGATTCTAGAAAATATTGCACAGTTCTAAATATAATTAAGAGTATATTTCCTCCAATATATATGAATAATTAAGGTAGAAAGAAGTGAATAAAAAATCCTCCAATATGCTGGGATGAAAACACTGGGAAGAATAATGGAAGGGGCCAAGGGTGAAGCAAATGAAGAAGAAGGGAAAGGACACGTGAGGGAGGAGTGGGGGAAAACATTTTGGGCACGTAATACGCAGGGTTAAGTGATCAATTGGGGTGGGCCAAGTCATTATTGTAGAACTACATTGCAGCAACTTGTTTATTATACGTCAATAATGCGATGAGTTGGCAATTTAAGATATACATCTCCATGGGTGCATGAGTTTTGTGTACCCCACCTCCCCAGAAAGCAACTTCTAGGAATTCAATCATCACTTGTTCCATTTAGTCTCAAATCTCAATATTGTCCATGCAAATAACACATACCATGCCTATCCCATTCCCATGCATGTCCCCAAACTCTTCTATATATATCTCTCTCATTCTCATGTTTCATTCAGTCACAGAAACACACACATGTAGAGAGAGAGAGAGAGAGAGAGAGTTCTCCACAAATTAGCTTCACAAACCTTCCTTCTCTCCCTTGATTCCTTTGAGAGATTACTGAGAGAGAAAAGGTTATAAACTTCCAAGGCCATGGCTCATCACGGTCCATTAGTTTTGGTGTTCGGGCTTCTCGGTAACGCTGCCTCCTTCTTGTGCTTCCTGGCGCCAGTGTAAGCATATATACTTAGTTTTGCAGACATATCTTCTTGTTATTTCGTTGTTGTGGAAGTGTACTGATGTTGGAGAGGCAACGTTGGTGCGTGTTGCAGACCGACATTTTATAGAGTATGTAAGAAGAAAACGACGGAAGGGTTTCAATCGGTGCCATACATAGCAGCACTGTTCAGTGCAATGCTATGGCTATTCTATGCGTCCGTGAAAACGGGAGAGACGCTCCTTATCACCATCAATGCGTTCGGTTGCGTAATCGAGACCATTTACCTCGCCATTTACATCACTTACTGTCCCAAGAAAGCTAGGGTGCGTGCTCCTTCTTGTCCTGTTTACAGAATATTTTTTAAAAGTAATTTTTAATACATTATAATGATTAAATCATTTTTTTTAATTTTATCTTTTTTATTATCATGAAGGGATTTAATATAGTTATTTCCTTCGGTCTTATTTATTTATAAGATATCATTTAAAAATAATTCTTGATCTAAAATATATGACATCTTTTAATAATTAAACAATTTTTTTTTAATTTTGTCCCTTTTTGATTAGCATAAAAATATTTAATGTAGTTATATTATTATTCAAAGTTAAAGGTAAAAATAAAAATACATCTCTCTTTTATAATACCCAAAAAAAAACTGACTTTTTTCAAAATATGTGAAATAATTAAAAGTATTTTATAATGAGGATTGAAAGAAGTATATTATTATTTAAAATTAAGAATAAAAAAATTTCATTTTCTCATGATATAACAAAAAAACTTTTTTTAAAATGTGTAAATCGGTTGAGAGTGTCCTCGATTCTGACTGGAGAGAGTATCTCTCTATGTGGCTCTTTCTTAGTTCCCTCATCATGAGGTTTTGATTAATATATGATTGAACTCTCTCGCAGATGTCCACATTAAGATTGATTCTATTGTTGAACTTCGGGGGATTTTGTGTCATTGTGCTCTTAACACATTTACTAGCCAAAGGAGAAGCTGCTCGTGTCAAGCTTCTGGGATGGATCTGCGTGGTCTTCGCCACCAGTGTTTTTGCAGCCCCTTTGAGCATTATCGTAAGTATTTTTGATTCATCATTATTTTATTATATATCCTGCATCGAAGTTGCTGCTAATAATATATTATTTGTTGAGATGTTTTATGAATCTGGATTGTTAATTAATTTTAACTTTCAGAGGGTGGTCATTCGGACGAAGAGCGTAGAGTTCTTGCCTTTTCCTCTTTCGGTTCTCCTAACAGTCAGCGCTGTGGTGTGGCTCTTGTATGGACTTACCCTCAAGGACATCTATGTCACTGTAAGTTTCTAGAACTCTTGTTTGGTTTGTACTCTTTAATTATTTTGGATATATTTCCCCAAATTTGTGGGTATAAATATTACAACAACAAAAAACAAGATATCGAGAAAATTCAGAAAATTTCTGGAGGTCAAATTAATAATGTCCGGCCTCAATTATTTTGAATGCGATTTTTCTTTTTTCACAAAATATAAAATAATATTCTGAGTTTGGTTTTATGTGTGGACAGCTCCCTAACGTAGTAGGGCTCTCGTTTGGGATCGTACAGATGGTTCTGTATGCAATGTACAGAAAGAACAAGCCGGTGAAAGACGAGAAGCTCCCAGAACAGAGAAGCGAAGTAATGAATGAAAAAAAAAGTGAGGTAATTAACGAGACCAAGAATGTCGGCGAGGAGGAGAAACAAGAAGTGGTGACCATCGAGATCACAGATCAGAAGAAAGAAGAAGAAAAGCAAGAAGAGGAACAAAAAGAGCAGGTTAAAAATAACAAGCAAGATCAAACATACATGGACGACAAAGCCAGACCAGCGGTCTTCGAACCCTCCATTATTGAAATACCACCACAGCAGATGGTGACTTGCCAAGTTTAAGGAGGGAAAAGGACATATGCACGCGCGAGCGCGTGTTGTCAGGACTCTTTTGAGACTGTCTCTGTGGCCATCACCGCACCGCATGGGCTCTGGAATTTTCGTGTGAAATTGTTAAAGCCTGAATCGGGGGAGGCCACGGATGGTGTAGCTAATTAATTAATATGGTTCCATTTTCATGATCTTTTCTTAGTTATATTTCATTTTGTAGGGTTTAAGTTATATATAATAATACGTAATAGTTGTTGTAAAATCTTGTTATATCATTGACAGCAGCCTACATCGCAGGCGCCGGATATGCAAGGTAGAGATATCATTCTGATTATGTTGAATACAATTCCACCTTTTTTTTCTTTTAGCTTTTTGTTATTGTACAATTTTTATCGTGGAAAACAACAAAAACAAAAGATTAGTTCAATTGATAAATATTTAATCAATAATCTATAACTTTGGTTGTTAAAATTCTGTTGTCAATATATGGGGTGTTAGTGAGTAATCTATAAATACAATTGTATATGCTTTTTAAATCTAAAGAGATGCTCAAACTCTAATGTATTTTTAGAATCGAACTAGTCTGTAGAGGGAAAGGGGTTGTGGAGATTGGAGGGAGGTGGTGGCAAAGGTCTAATCAAGGGAGGGGAAAGTTGTTGGGTAAGTGTTGGGGAAGTGGGAAAAGTGATCGGAAAAGCGAGGAAAAATGATGTACGTGGTGTAGGCATGGGGTGACTTATGGTTTGATGAGATCCCTTGATTGTAGGAGTGGTTGGTTGATGTTTGTTCGTATCTTAATTTCTTTCCACCAGTGGTCACACACGCTGCTTTCCAAGCTGGCTAGTGTCTGCTAATAATATATTGGGTTAAAATTTATTTTTATCTCTCCACTTTATTTAAATGGTCATTTAACATCATAAATTTAACTTTAAATTAATTTTATTTCTCAATATTAAATATTCTCTTACTTGTTACCTGTCATTTTTTCATTGTTTATTCATTGTTAATGAGTCCCGCATTACATTTATTAATGTTTTATCATAAAATATTTAAGTTTAAATCATACTCTAACTCTTTCGGGTCAACTTGATGGACAAAAATGACCCTTCACCCAATATTTTATAATATTAAAAAATGCAATGTGGAATCCACTAATAGCAAACAAATGGTGAGATAATGATAAGGTGATAAGAGAGTGAATCTTTAATGTTTAGGAATAAAATTAACTCATAATTAATTTTATGGTGCCTAATAATCTTTGATAAAGTTAAGAAGTAAAAATGACTATAATCCTTATATATTTAATATTATTTTCCAACCCTAATGATCTCAAGGTTTCGTCACTAATTATAAATTTTAAAATGTCAAGACATCAGCTCAAAAGTTATGTTGACTATTTTTTTAAGGAAAAGACGTAGATATTTAATGTTTTACATTTAATATAGTTTTATTCAATTAATTCAAAACAAATAAATTTTAAAGTGTTAATAATATTAACAACAAAAGTTTGTTTTGAAATAGATTATATATAAAGAATTTACCTATTTGAAAGTTCATCTAAATGAGTATTTTGTATCTTAAACTTTTGATAAGTGCAATATTTTTAAATTATTAACTTTTAAATTAGAAGAAAATTCAACAACTCATTATTACCCAAAATAAAAGGAAGAATTTAGGTTGAATTACATAAACACCTCTAAGTCCAAATTTAGGCTAGTTTATGTTGCGCCAATAGAGAAGTCTGAACAAGTTTGCTTTTAAGCATATGCTAGTTGAGACAATCTGCTCATGGATAAAATAAGGGCAAGTCAAGATTTTAAGAGAATGTTTCTGGAGTGCTCAGAGTTGAGTTAATTTTTCATCCAAATAATCTCAAGTAAAACTTCACATCAAAATCTAAAAAAATTAATGAACCATTTTTAACAATGGTAATGGGTTATTAGAATTTTCTTATGATTTGAACATCAATAACCCAAAAACATCATTTTAATAAAAAGTTTAAGATACTAATTGCTCTTTTAGAAAAACTTTAAGGGCAAAATTTATCTTTAACCCTAGTCAAAATTTTCAATTAAAGGTCAATATGTTGATCAAATGTTATTTTAGGATAACATTGCATTATTTTATTAAACCCTCAAGATAATATTGTGTCAGTAAAAAAATAAGGATACTAGATGCATTTGACAAAAAACTTCCATGGAAAATTTGTGCCTTTTAACCCTTTAAATTATTATTTTCATGTTTTTATGACTACTATAAATAGGAAAAATTACTGACAAATCCCACGCAGCGATTTTAATACCTTAAAGTCCCATAAGATGTATAAATTGCTAACAAATCCCAAATTCTGTACAATTACAACTTAGTAAAGAAAAATAATAACTTAATATTAAATCCAAACCCAAGTTGACATTATATAAGAATTGAGATTTGAGAATATTTTGTCTATTTTATGCAACTTCCTAATAATTAAAATCCTTATGGGGAATGTTGGAATGATTTTCATTAATAAATAGCCTTAGAGTTTCTCATTTCTTCACCTCTCTCCTCTCTTTCCTAATATATTTTAGGACTATTATAGCATATAATATATAACTTGATTTATCAATTTATCAACTACAATACAAGATAATAATAAAGTAACAACATTAGAGTTACTATTTAAATTTAATATGATTGAAAATATAACTAAAAATAAAAAAAGTAGATTGATTAAAAAATCAAATAGTTAAATTAATGTGTTTGTGATATATTACATAACACACACATGTGTGTGTGTGTGTGTAAATAGGTTGGCCTATTGGCTCATCTAAGCCTTAAAAAAATAACCTTAGTATATTTAATTAAATAGATTTAATTAAAGGCTTAAGCCTGGTGTAAGCTCATTTAGTAAATAAGCTAGGTTGGATCTGAAGTAGGTTAGGTTATAAGCTCCTATTGGGGCCTGATCTATTCTCACCCCTAAATTTTTTATCTTTAACCTTAATAAAATGTTTAAGCAATGATTACTTTTTCTTTGACAATGATCAAAACAGAATAAGGAATTACAACTTTTCTTGTATATATTTTTTATTTTAGACTAAGAGTATTTTGGTAATTTCACCAAAAATCATTAATGTCAAAAAGGTCCATAAGAGGCTTGACAAGAATTATGATATTTCAAGAATTCATTATCATTTATATATTTCAAAAAAAAATTTCTATCATAAAAAAAACAAAGCAAATTGTATTATAATATTGTTTTAATATCAATTAATGCGTAGTGTTTGTCCTTCTCATTATTTTTAGAGGTATAAGTAAAGATTATCCATTTATTTGATAAAGATACCATCCCTTTAAATTTTTTATTTCATTAATTTCTTTCCACCAAACGCCTTCTAGAAATGCTAATATTTTAATTAAGCTTGAAGGCCACTCAATAAGTATAATTAATGGATCCTTCATCCTTTTTGCATGATTAAGCATCATTCTTTAAATAACAGATATTCCTAAAATAATCTAGCTAGCTTTCCATCCTGCTGAGTTTACGTCTCCAAACAGAAATTATTGCAGTTATTCAGGAATTGAAAATTAGTCCCCATATTCACCCAATTCTTTCAAAATTGTGTTATAAGAAACGCAATAGTTGATATTGATAATAATTATAAGCGAAGCAACACAAAGCGCTGTGTTTTCAAGTGGGAAAAAAAAAACCAAAATCATACCAAAATATATAATAATGGAAGCATATTATTTCAATTCATAAAGTGATATTAATGGCATGACGAATCGTTAACAGGAAATTAAGATATTCACCTCTTAATTCGAACTTTTTTAATTAATTTCAAAGAAGCGAGGTGGCTCGGGGACTGTGAATCTAATGGTTAGGATGCCAAATATGTGTATACTTAAGACAATATGGGAAGTTACGCATTGATTAAAAGATAGGCTTAATAAATCATATAAAATAAGGGAAAATAACTTGTTAATTAACTTGAGTTTTGAATTAAGATGTGTTATCATTCCACTTCTCTTTGTCCATTTTTTCTCTTTTCCTTTTCTAAGCTGTCGCTTCTCATATCTAACACTAATATATATTAAAGGTTATGCATAAATATTAATTAGTTGAAGAATACGGAGAGGAGAACAAAAAATATAGAAAAAGAAAGGGTATAATTTTTAATATTTCACCTACTTAACATTCTTAAAAAACTCAAATGATGGATGACTTGTACTATTGCCATTTTTTCAGATTGGGGGAAGCTTCACATATATACATATATATATATATATATATATATACATATATATAAAACACATAGAGAGATTAAATCATGCGTATAATATTTTTACAAGACTTTCCGCATCCATCACAATAAAAGTAGCTCGTCGTTATTGGGTAATTAAGATTGCAACTACGAATAAACTTTTAATTAATCGCATTATTTCCTAAACATAGACGCTTTCTTATAAACTACATATTAATTCTTTGATGCTTCGTTTGGGCTGTAAGAAACTAATGTCGAAACTTATACCTTTAATCTGCACTTTCGATCAGATTAAAAAGAAAGAAAGAAAGAAAGAAGAATCGCATGTGATTCAGCATATTATTCTCAAGTCAGTCATGAGTAAATATATAAATGTGAAAAGCTGACCTTGGATTACACACTATGATTTGCCCATCAATTAATTTTTAAGTGTTATCTAATTGCTACTTTTTAGCCTATAATTACATTATAGTGTTGACTATGGGAAAAGAGTAGCGTGCAACATGAAAACGTACACTGTTATATAAGCTACTATATTGATTAATGAGAAATGCTTTCTGCACTATATTATATAACCATATATTACATGGACTGTTTAGAAAATAATTAAAGCTTTCGATCCCTTGCATCATCACTGCCAATAATACATATTAAAGCTAAACCTGATCTTGTATTCAACTTTTTCTTTAATCCTCTCAGATTCGACCATTTTCTTTAATGAAAATCATGTCCTATTACGTCAGGATACATGAAAATCGCAAGTAGGTACCACATGAATATGCTTTTTCACTTGATTTAGTATCCGAAATAGAGGGACAAGGGACTCTTATCACTTTGTAATGCCACTTTGCATAAAACAAAAAAGAGGGTAACAACATCATATGTAAATAAAGAAAATAAATTATTAAAAATCATTCCGTGCATGACCACTCATATAAAATATCATATCCTCTCCTTCCAAAAATAAAGACACTTGAAAATAATTGAAGTGACGCTCTTTCTCTCCGCTTTTTACGTCATGTATATATGTAGTGTTTAAAAAATATGAGACTATTATGATTTGTTTATTGCACAATATATAAGATAACAGCAGGAAAAAATCAAAATTATTTAACCTTTT